TATGACACATAAATGACGAATTACAAACTATGGACGAATGATGGTAACCACAATATTTGAAGCATCTCCTCAGATCAATTGCGTCATAGATGGAACAATCATAGCCGAAGAAGAGTTTTCCCTGAAGCATTACATTTTTGTAGGTAGATATATCGCACTGAATAACTGCCTGATTAAGTTTGTTGTTTTTCTTAAGAGGAAAATGGGAAATAACTGTTAGATCACCAACTATTTCATTTTTATTTTGAATTTTTAGACAGTTAATTAGTTTTTCATCAGATAGTTTTTCAGACATACCAACGATTTTGAACCTAGTATTTAAAACTGGCTCTTCCATAATGGTGTAATTATTATCGAGTTTCTCATCAGCCAACTTTTTGAATTTACTGGAATCTTCTGAATTCTCACAGCTCCCCATGATTATTACACAGGATTGTAAGTTGTAGTTCTTCCAATAAAAAAATATGAATATCCATGATCTTTAATTAAAGAGATATAATTATTAAAATTGAGGGAAGCTCTTTCATTGTTAGATATTTTTCCATTCAAATTTTACTCATGGCTCAATAATTTTTTTCAATATTTATTACATTATATAGAGTGTCCCAAATTATATAAAACGGAGATAGATTAAAGATCTCATAATTTTAAACAAAAAGGTTCATATTAAAAATGGTCCGATTTTCATCAGTAGCAAAGTTACTGGTGGTTCAAAATTGATAGGAATGATACATTATCAGCTGCGCACCACTTGTGAAATTTGGTATTTTTTTGGTTTTTTAATTAGTTATCTAACTTTTACATCTCTTGACTTTTGATCGAATTTTGATCAATGTTTGCATGTTAATATGAACTTTTTGGCCTACAATTATGAAATCTATAAACTGTTTCAATTGGATTCGTACAATTTGGGACATTTGTATAAAACATCAGAACTACAATAGTTTATCCACAAGAAAAATTAAGATTGGTTGTCCGTTGTGATGTTAATATTATAAGCCGGGCTAGTTTCGTAGTGATAGAGATAGATATATGTTTACAATCATAGGTGCAACTAAGATAACACCGTTAGCCGAATGTAGATCACTCGCGGCAGCCGTTTTATATTAATTAACATAAGTTAATTAGTATAAGACATACAAATATGGTTGATGTTTTGTTATGATCTAAATACAAATTAGAAACTTTTATAAACAGTAACTTTTTGTTTTAAAATCTTGTTTAGCTAATTTCGTAGTGTTAACATAAAAAGTACATTTTTCTAGAGCAGTGTTGTTATAAATAGCACCATACTAGTATAGTAATGCTCATCTCGAGCAAATTTTGTTTACAAATAAAATATCTTTAAAACAAACCACATTACAACTACTGTCTTTGTAATATAGCAATATTAATAATTAAAGAAATTTTTTTTACCTAATAAATGCATTAATAAACTTATTTTCGGAATATTTGACTTGTGAGCTATTATTGGCATACCCTGTATGCCGCGCAAAATTAAATTTTGTGCATTTTCAATCAAAAATTTAGGGTGGAGCACCCTGTATTTCAAATAACAGGGAATTCTATTATAAATGTGATTACGAATGAGGACAACACTCATAGACGAACTGAAATGTTACGGTAGCATAGAATGCATATATAAACACATTCTCTCGTGTTCGCAAATAAGCTTGTACTTTTTACTTTTAAAAAGTAAAATATTTTTTATTTATATTTGATTTATGATCACAATGAACAATGTTGTTTCATGCTAAAGAATAGGCCAACCTAAGGTGATCTGTAACAATACCTACTGTATTATATAGGTATTATATCTCCCATTGGATCAATTTTGCCCCACATTTATACGTTCATATAGTTTTATCACCAATAGACTGGCCCAGAAGTCTGGCTGGGCTGCACACATTTCAATGCGAAACCAGAAATAAAACTGTTCTATATTTCACACGAAAATGTTTATACAGCCTAGTATTGTTATTTCATAAAAATTGGTTAATCCAATAATATATTTTGTTAGCTGGTGGTTTTTATAATAAACATTTAATTTCTAATTGAAAAATAGTTATATCAACCGTACAATAATTTTTGACTATATTTTTTATTTGTTCTTATAGGTTATTAAGTTATGATCACAAATTTGGGAATATTATATTATAACCGGCCCTGGTAATAGCTTGTATAACATGTTTTGTTCCAGTGCTGCAAGTTTTTTAAAAATTACTGTGGACATCGTATGAGCAACAAACATGTAATTTTGGAATTTATTCTGGAAACAACCATCAGAAAATCAAAATAGATTAGCTTAGAACTCAAGGTGAAGGTTATCGCGCATACTCTACTGTTTATGCTGCCAGATACGGCCTCCATTCTTGAGACACCTGGCAGCTGCATATTACAGCTACTCCTCTACTCAAAGTCAACCAAATGCATCAAACCATATTCATTTATAACTAGTCAAATAAATAATACACAAGAAAAATCAGGCAATCGTTACCTAAACTACATATTTTAGGATTACATAATATTTTTAGGGCACCTCGTCTCCCCTACCAAATAGTGATGCCGCGAGACAAGACGAGACGAGAGAGTGGCCTCTTTCGTCTCGTCTCGTAGGGCGCGAGAAAACTGTTCTCTCGTCTCGACGAGAAGGCGCTTCTCTCGCTCGAGAGAGCCTTTCTCTCGTCTTGTCTCGTCTCGTTTTCCACGTGATAAAACAATATCAAATTTAAATTTGAAAAAGACGAAACATGAAAAACGGTAAAATTTGTAAGACAAAAACAAAGAATGTTTCAAGTAATTTGCGCATTAGTACCCAAATTTGGTAATAAGAAACACTTATGTTTGCCATTTTTCTAATGCAATCCTGTGATGTCAAATAAAAGCATTTTGTACTATGTTTTCAAAACGCAAAAAGATAGAGACATAAAACAAAAACGATGTTAAATTAGAGAAACATTATGATAGTTTTGTCATAATGAGATTCACGTAAAATAGAGGGCGTTAGTATCTTTAAATTTTCTAATAGAAAGTAAAGTCATGTAATACCTCATTTGAAAGATATTATTATATTTACGTCCAGTTGTCAACTTTAACAATAATGACCATCACATATCTCTACCAGAAGACTTTCTAAAATCTTTAGATATTCTAGATAAAATTTAAACTTATTTTGTTTATGTTTTGGTAATTGCTATTGTAATTGTATTGTTACTGGCGAAAAATATTTTATTATTTTGATATTATGACGTTATTTTGAATTTTACGGAAATTGTATTCCGTGAGATGTTCTGGAAACTTTGTAGCCCTCAATTTAGTGGCGCAAACTTCTGTCACCATTTAGAGTGTTGAAAATGCAGTTTCTGAAAATTATTAAAGTCTGATTTTTTTCAAGTAGAACCTAAACGGTGACACATAGAAGTTTGCGGCAATACTAACTTTTGATCATTAAGTTTGGATGCTACAACACCGTATCTGAGTTCTAGGAAAACCTCAGAGTACACCATTGTCCGGAACATTAATATTTTTCTATAAAAATATTACTGTATATTATGAATTTTATGATCATATGCGTTTTCTAATAAAACTAGCCTATATTAGCCAAATGCTCTGTATATATATTAATCTCCTATTCCATATTCCAGTCAGTTACAAGGACGACCATTAAAATGTAAATAGCCTGATAAACTTGGACAGGACCTAAGATTGGCATGAACTTCAAATTTTTCAGTTTAAATATCTGTCAGTTTAAGAAGCTACTAAATTTTAATTAACATTCCTTCAACTGGCTGAAAGTCTTTTATATATACGAGTACATATAATTATTTTGCACTATTACTGATAATAGAACATTTAAAAATATTATGCCCCAGAAATATTGCAGACGAATTTTGAAACAACTTGTAATAAGATTAAAAATAATCCAGCAAATGAAAAATTAGTAAATTATTGGAATTTCTTATATAAGTTATTAAAACATCTAAAAAAACCTGTAGACTAGAGAAATCAACGGCAGCAGATGAATATGTTAAACAGTGATCGGTACGTCGTATATGGACCTGCAGTTTAGTGATCACAACTTAGTAATAACAGACTCTTTATATACAGTATGACCCACTTAAGATGGGAGCACCTCTGTAAGGAGCAAATTTTTCGACCGAGATCAAATTTTTTTTTATTATCCAGAACATCAAAAATTATACTCTAAGCCAAATTTGCATGCATACTCATAAATATCAAAAACACACAAAATTTAATAAAAAAATATTTATTAACTGTGTCACAACATTAATTTTAAAAATCCACCATTTCAGTATCTTTTACTATAGTTTTTTAGACAAATTCTGAAAATCGGCAATATTGTCAAAAAAGTAGAACATTACTCAAGTTTTCTGGTGCGAATACGATTTATAATTCTTTGAAAATATTTAACAAATAATAAACCTAAGAAGTGTATTTTTCTAAATTCCATATTATAAGAAAATAAAAATCTTTCGAATTTTCACCAAAAACTTGAACGTTATTCTATTTTTTATTGGCACCGTTGCTAGTTTTTAAAATCCGCGTAAAAGATATATTCAAATAGTGCATTTTCAAACTTAATAAAATAACTTTGTTGTTAATACATATTTTAATAAAATTTTAAATGATGCCACTTTAAAGGTTTTTAAACGCCGTGATGTAATCAAACTTATAAACAAATCTAATACTCTAGTCGTTTTCAAAAGAAAACAAATTATAGGGTGCCTTGAAAATTAATATTTATATATTCAGCAAATTTAAGCTGAAGTATACTTTTTGATGCTCTGCATAACAAAAAAAAATTTGGAACCAGGTTAAAAAAGATGCATTTTACAGAGGCGATCCCATCTTAAATGGGTCACAACAAATTTGTTAATACCAAAAGGTTGATACGACCGGTTTTTCAACAGCATCTTATATATTAAGAAGGTTCACTGTAAGCAGCAAAAGTGTAACAGTCAATGCATAACACGTGTTACCTGTTGTACATGAGAACATCTGGTTTCCATAGTTTATTAGGTGTGATCCGTAAGTCCTTAATCCCTCCGTAGTCTGATTCGTTCCAACGTAGATTGTAGTCGTTCCATTCCTGCACACAAACTTATGATAGTGATTCATGGCCGAGTATAACTTCCTTCAAATTCGCCACACACTTAGTACGGTAATATTTAATCTAAACCTATATGAAAAATTGCAATCTGTACGAAAGTCAAGTTAAAATCGTAACTTTTATTTTATCATGTATCATAGGCAATTATTATTAATATTTTTGGCTAACAGTGATAGGCGAATCAGAAGAACAATCATAAATGAATTGGAACGTCATCAGTTTTGCAGATTTGACTTTCCATTTTTTACATTATATACGTTACACACGGTTTTTCAACAAATGCAAGAAACAGTTACAGCCAGAAGCTAAGCCATGCCAATTAGAATACATTACATTACATTCCGTTACAATACTTTACAATACACTACGATACAGTAGGATACATTACGATACAGTAGGATACATTACGATATATAACGATACGTTACGATACATTATATTACATTAAATTACATTACATTACATTCCGTTACAATACACTACGATACATTACGATACATTACGATAGATTAGGATACATTACGATACATTACGATATATTACGATACATTACGATACATTACGATACATTACGATACATTACGATACATTACGATACATTACGATACATTACGATACATTACGATACATTACGATACATTACGATACATTAC